TCAAATTAGGGGATCTGAATTATTGAAATTTGATTCAACGGCTAAAGTTATTATAACTTTTAGAGTGGACTCCTATTTGTAGCCGTTAAATCAAATTTTAATGACTCGTATTCCTTGATTTGGTGGATTAGGAGAAAATGATCCTAAGCGGTCAATATAAAAGCCAAAAATAGGAATTGTTTTTATAATTTTTCTGAGTTTATAAAGAAAGAAGTACTGATTGCTCTTTTAATTTCTACAGATTTTTTAGAAAGAATATGGAAGAAAAAAATATATCGACATGTAGACTAATATTATATATGACCCCTTGTAATAAAAAAACTATGTAAGCAAGTGTATGATTGCCACATAAGATATCATAATGGCTTTGCATTCGTTAGGTTTCTAAAGAGTAGCATTATAATCTCCTTTTTATTTTTCTTTTCCTGATATAAATGATTTTAATGCAGGGAGATCTAAACTCGAGACAAATTCGAAATCGAAACCTAAAATACAATTTTTTTTTAATTAACTGAGCCACAAGTCAAGTGCTCTTTTTTTTATTTTCATCTAAATACATTATTCTATGAAAAAAGATTTTTTACGCAAAGGAAAAATTACACATAGAATATATTTTTAATACTTAATTGTATATTGAAACAACATTTTTAAATATTACAAGCAGAGATAAAAGTTAATACATGTGAAATATAGTAGAACAACTATAACTGTGTGAAATTACCAAAAAAGGTATAACACTAGATATGCTATTAATTTAATTTTCTTAACAAACAAAGGTGAATTACTAAATATACTTTATTTTTAAAAGAAAAATATTTATAAACTTTATGACAAACTACTTCAATTGAAATATTTTAGACTGAATAGATAGGATTCATTAGTACAATATTCTTAACATTTGGTTATTAATCTTCTTCAATTCATTCGATCCGATTGCTGAAATTTGAAAAAGACGTGTGAAAAGTAAAAATGAATGTGTGAATAACAATATTCTAAATAACTTTGGCCTTTACTTTTCCCTTCATTTTATTATTTTTATTCTATCATGCTATTGATTAACAGTTCCAGTCTTCCAGACAAAACCAGGAACAAAGCCCATGGAAATATGGAGGAAGACGGAGGAAAACCACCATGACCGCTCTATCAGACGAGCTCCGAAGCCCAAACCTCAGACCCACGCCTCGATCCACGATCCACGTGTCCTAATTCCACACTTGATCCCAGAGAAGACAACCGCACCGATTTAAAACCTCCTCCGATGAACCAGATCGAGATTTTTCGAGCTCTCGAAGTGGTTAAATTTAACGCAAAGAGCAAGAAATATACTCACAGTTCAGCGAACGAAGCTCGCGATGCCGTGAGATTGCTGCGATTATGGCTTAACAGATCTTGATTTCAATTTGGGTTCGTCGAAAAGGAACTAGAATCGCTAGGGTTTTTGGTGGAAGCTTGAAGACGGCATGCGAGAGAGTCTGAAAGTGTGAGGAAGGCAGGAGAAAGAAGGGCAACGTTGGCAAATTGAAAAATTCATTAGCAAATTACGGTTCACCCGTGTTTTTCACAATAAGCTGTTTTTCTGAATCTGCTTTTTGCAGCTTCAGGTTTCTGTCTTTTTTTCATCTAAACCCTTGAAATAAAGCTGGTTTAAAATGTTTACTGAACATCAAAAACTCTCCCAATTTTTTTAAATACCCATTTTTTTAAAAATCACCTCAGTACCAAACCTTACCTAGGTCTCACAAAATTAATTAAATATTACATGCAAATTAAAATTATTTAAATAGAAAATAATAGAAAGAAAAGAAGAGAAAAAAGCAGGCCTCATGAGTGAAATACTTTGCAACGATTCACAGTTCACCCTATCTGTAATGTAGAAAGACTCTTAAACCCAGAAATTATGCTCATCCTAAAACCCAAAAATGGCATAAATGATAAGAAGAACCGCCATTGGAATACGCAAAGAGCTCGCCAAACCATCCACCCTCTCCATCTCCAAAGTAACCTTAATCCCCTTCTCTATTAACACAAATGAAATATAGGTTTTTCAGTAGAAAAGATTTGAAGAAGAAGAGAGAAATGTAGAGAGATAAGATGAAAGGATATTTCTTATTTCTGTAAATGTTTCTTACCAGAAAAGATGCTACATTCTACTATTTATAGCCTACTACATTTAGTAATTGCCTTCTTAACTATTAAGCAACTATACAATCATCTTAGCCATTGTATAACTAACACATGGCACCTTAACTACCCTTTGATATTTACTGTCATTAGCCTCTATTTGATCTTTGCAATCATCTTAGCCATTGTATAACTGACACAAGGTTAAGATTGTAACAATGATGAACAAATGAAGGACTGAAAACTCTTAGTCAGTATGTCTGCAACCTGCTTCTTGGTGGGAATGTACTGAATAATCAAGTCACCTTTTTGAACTTTTTGCATCACAAATGATCGTCTATCAACATGTTTGATACAAGAATGATACGTAGGATTGGAAGTTAATGCCAAAGCAGAAAAATTATCACAATGTGGAATGGGAGGAGAAGGCAGAAACACATGTAAGCCATTCAGTAATGATCTAAGCCACCAAACATTGGCTGCACAGTAGGCTAATGCTTTGTACTCGGCCTCAATGGAACTTCTGGAAACAGAAGCCTGCTTTTTAGATTGCCATGACACATGATTTAAACCTAAATAGACCACATATCCAGTAATGAACCTGTGAGTTGATATCAGTTGCCCAGTCCAAATCAGAGAAGGCTGAAATGGTGTGATCAGTGAAGCTCTTGTATGTTAAACCACATTGTAATGTACCCTGTATATATCACAGTATTCGTTTGACCAAAAAATAATGAGAATCAGTGGGTTGATGTATAAATTAGCAAATCACGACAGCATAAGCTATACGGGTTTGGTAAAGGTAAGATACTACAAAGCTCCCACAAGACTTCTATAAAGAGTACGATCTGAAAGAGGTGTGCTTCTGAAATAAGTAGTTGTGTGTGAGGTTCTGAGCATATAAAAGAGGGCTTACAATGCTTCATTCCAGCCTTAATCAGTAACGCCTTCGCATATTTACTTTGACAAACAAATCAACATTATCCTTATACTAGATTTGAAGACCAAGAAAATAAGTGAGTTGTCCCATGTCTTTAAGTTCAAATAATTCCCCAAGTTTTAGTTACCACATCTTGAACTTGAGAAGAACTAAAGCCTGTAAGAATAATGCCATCTATATATAAAAGTAGAATGACCACATGTATACCATCATGCTTCACAAAGAGGCTAGTATCAAATTGTGAGGCTATAAAACCCAAGATAGGAAGAACTTCTGTAAATTTAGAATGCCATGCTTTTGGAGCTTGTTTAAGCCCATATAGAGATTTGACAAGTCTGCAAACATGAGAGGGATATTTAGAATTCATAAACCCCTGCAGTTGATGCATATAAACCTCCTCGTGTAAATCTCCATGACAAAATGCATTTTTAATGTTTAATGCCTTAGCTTCCAATTGCAGTTTGTAGCTAGAGCTAGGATAAGCCTGACTGTAGAATGCCTAACTACTAGGCTGAATGTTTCAGAATAATCAACACCATGCTCTTGAGTAAAGCCTTGAGCCACTAAGTGAGCTTTATATCTGGCAACAGTACCATCTCTATTCCTTTTGATTTTGTAAATCCATTTACAAACAACAATGGACCTGTTTTCAAGTGGATGAACTAAAACCAAGTTCCTTGTGTCTATAATGCATCATACTCCTTTTGCATGGCTTTTTGCCATTGAGAATGAGAGCTAACACTTCTAAAAGTTTTAGGCTCATCCACATCAACGATATCATCCATAAAAGTATAACCAGAAAAAGTTGTAAAATCTTCATCGATATGCAAAGATTGAAGTTTTGGGACAGCAACAAGAAATGCAGATTAATCCTTCCTAGTAATAGTACCAGTTTTAAGCCTAGTTTTAATGGATGAACTTGAAGGAGGAAGAATTACTTGAAGTTAGGATGGATGGAGGACATGTAACAAAGGAAGATGATCTTGAGGAGTAGCAGTGGAATGAGTAGTTGAAGTAGATGTTTCAGATTCCTGTGAATGTTCAAAACCAAAGGATAAGCCAGCATTTGTTGATACCTCTGATAAAGAATACTCTGGTAAATCAATATTGGAAGATGAAGTAGGCACTGAATTTATGGGGACTGCAGTTGTACCAAATATGGGAATTGGGACAATAACTGGTGGTGACCTTTGAGATATGAACTGTATAGATGTCTGAGATGAGGATGATGTAGGTAATTAAGCAGGAAACAAAGTTTTATCATAAACCACATGTCTAGAGAGTATCAACTTCTTTGACCACAAATGATAGCAAATAATTCCTTTATAATCAATAGCATATCCCAGAAAAACACATAATGCAGATCTTGGTTGTAACTTGTTCTGATTATATGGTCTGAGATATGGATAAACAGCTAACCCAAATATTCTCAAATGATCCAATTCTGGATGTTTGTGATGCAGCATAAAGTAAGGAGAATTCATATGAAGTGAAGGACAAGATATTCAATTAATTAAGTAGACAACATGAGCACAAGCACATAACCAAACACCTGAGACAATCTTGCTGCATTTATCAAAGTGATAGTTGTCTCCACTATGTGTTTGTGCCTTCTCTCAACAAATCCATTTTGTTGAGATGTATAAGGACAAGATATCCTATGTACCATACCCTTAAGTGTAATAAGGTTATAAAATTGCTTGGGTCATAAACTCACCACCCCCATCAGATAGAATGATTTTAATGCTAGAACCAAGCATGAAACTTCACAAAAATACTGAACACATCTGATTTATTGAAGAGTAGTAAAATCCACACAAATTTAGTACAATCATCTACAAATGTTACATAATATATATGGCCTTCACTAATTTTGACAGGAGAACAACCCTAAGCATATGAGTGGATCTTTTCAAAAGGAAACAGACGCCTATTTGAATTATAAGAAAAAGGTAATCTTGCCATTTTGCCATGAATACAATCTGTACACATTGTATACGTATCATTTAACACTTGAGAAATCTTAGACTCATGTAACATAGATAACATTACTTCATTTGTAGGATGTCCCAACCGCTGATGCCAAATAGATGACTTTATTAGCTATCCAAGATGTGTTGAAGTTGAAAACTGACTTGAAGAAGACATTGGTTTGAACACAGGAATCTGAAACAACTCATTAGGCCTACTCTTTCCTCTGTAAATGATCTCCTTTGTTACCTTGGCCTGCACAAAAAACCAAATATCATTACAGATAAACCAACATCTGTTATCTTTGCATAATTGTTTTACAGATAAAAGACCTTCAGCAATATGAGGAACATGAAGAAATTTATGTAATTTCAGAGATTGTGTAGGAGTGGTAAGAGTGGTAGATCCAATATGCTCAATATTTTAACCTTGACCATTTCCAATTTTGATCATGTTAGACCCTTCAAATGTTGTAGCATGATTGAGAGTGGTGATGTCGGTATCAACTATCCAAGCATCTCCAGTTGGGTAAGAACCAATAAATGTGCTGCCATAGCATTTATGTTCTAACCAGAAGAATTTGGAACTGGAAATGATGAAGAAGATAACTAATACTCAAAGTCCCGTGTTGTTTGGAAAGATTATGGTGGAGGAGCTCATTACAACAACAACAACAACAACAAAGCCTTTTCCCACTAAGTGGGGTCGGCTATGTGAATCCTAGAATGCCATTGCGCTCGGTTTTGTGTCATGTTCTCCGTTAGATCCAAGTACTCTAAGTCTTTTCTTAAGGTCTTTTCCAAAGTTTTCCTAGGTCTTCCTCTACCCCTTCGGCCCTGAACCTCTGTCCCGTAGTCATATCTTCAAACTGGAGCGTCAGTAGGCCTTCTTTGCACATGTCCAACCCACTCATTCCTAATCTTATCCTTTCTCGTGAGCCCACACCTCCAACGAAGCATCCTCATCTTCGCTACACCCATTTTGTGTACGTGTTGATGCTTCACCGCCTAACATTCTATGCCATACATCATCGCTGACCTTATTACCATCCTATAAAATTTTCCCTTGAGCTTCAATGGCATACGACAATCATATAACACGCCGGATGCACTCTTCCACTTCATCCATCCCGCTTGTATTCCATATATTCTATCTTTGATCGACTTAGGTGAAGACCTATAGATTCCAACACTTCTCTCCAAAGGTTAAGCTTCGCATTTACCCCTTCCTGAGTTTCATCTATCAACCCTATATCTTCTGCGTAAAGCATACACCAAGGAATAACATCTTGAATATGTCCTGTTAACTCATCCATTACCAATGCAAAAAGGTAACAACTTAAGGATTGTTGATGCACAAAATCAGTGAGGACTTTGGTACAACAGAAAGTATTAAGTTTGTGACCTTCGCTAGATTGCTCCGGTCATTAGTGTGGATAAGTATGTAAAAGGATAGAGACAAGAGAGCAAACACAAGATGTACGTGGTTCACCCAGATTGGCTACGTCCACGGAGTAGAGGAGTTCTCATTAATTATGAAGGGTTTATTCAAGTACATAGGTTCAAGCTCTCCTTTAGTGGGTACAAGTGAATGATTTAGTACAAATGGCATTAGGAAATATTTTGGGAAAATGATCTCCTTTTATAGAAGAGAGTTTCTAGCCTTGTTCTGACATTGACACGTGTCGTGTTGTGATTGGCTTCTGATGTTGACACATGTCGCGCTATGATTGGCTTCTAATGTCGACACGTGTCGCTTTGTGATTGGCCTCCTGGTTAGAAGGGAAGCTCCTCGGTTGGGGACTTGCAAGATCCAAGCCGCTGAGTAATCACGAAACTTCTAAGTACTGAAGTGTGGTATCGTCTTCACTTGCCTTATCTGTCTCATAGGTAGATGTGGCATCTTCTCTAGAAGTACTCTTCCTCCGTCCAGGGGTGGTATCTTTAACTGATGGAGATGCACAAGGTAATGTATCAATTTCACTTGAAGCTTACTTGTAGTTTCAGGCTTGGTCAAGCGCGATACAAACCATGTAGTAGGAGTCTCCCAAGTCGCCGAGCTAGGGGATCTGTTGAAAGAGGTGACAGACAAGGTAAGCAATCAGAGCTCCAAGCAATCAGTCCCAGATCAGAAGTTTGATTTTGAGTTCCGGCTGGTTGTTCTCATTCTCCTTATCTTACAGGCAGCATGAAGGATAAAGAGAAGAAAAGGAGATGAGATGATATGAGATACTTTGCTTTTGAATAAGTAACTTTCCACAAGCTTATTTTTGAACTGGGCTAGAGGGTTTTCTGGTTACCTCCAGAGTATAAGGCCGACTGAAGAATTTTAGGGTCAAAACAAGTCCATCAAATCTAGAGTACGTTCGACCCTGCTGATATGGGATACTTTTACTGTTGACAAAGTAGTGGAAGTATCGGCACGTGTTCTGTTACGCTTGTCTCCACATGTTTCCTTGTATCCTTCTCACTTGCCCTATCTGTTCCTCAGGCAGATGTGGTATCTTCTCTGGAAGCATAAGATGTTGAAGATGAGTACTCGAGAGCAATGCCAGGTAAGTAATCAGGTAAGGGGTTCCAGGCAGTCAGTTCATGACTGGAAGCTTGATTCCAAGTGCTGACTGATTGCTCTCCTTCTCCTTGTCTTGTAGGTCAGAACAAGGCCAAAGGAAAAGATAGGGAAAAAGCATGATATGGGATACTCTTGCTTTTAACCCTGATGATATGAGATATTCTTACTCTGGTGTAGCTTGTTTGCAGAGGTATTATCGGGGGGAAAGAAAGCTGAGTATTTCGAGAGGTTTCGTTAGGAGTGCCCTCTCAGATATAAGGAAGGGTTGAGCATTTTTGCAGGTCTGCCTGTCCGTTGAGGATGGAGGTTGACATATATAGGAGTCTCCCCAACAACAAGTAGTAATGTTATTCCTTTACCCTTCTTGGTCATAGCACTGTAGTGGGAGCTGCCAGCTTCACGTGTTTTAACTCTGTCATAGCACTTTGAAAAAGTGGTCTGTGGTATCTGGAAAGCTGATGTTGCATGTGAAGATTACAGACAAGCTTTATCTAAGGAGATCTGGCTCTCAAAGTTGATAAAGCGATGCCTCTTTGGTTTTCGAACAAGCGATCCTGTCGGGGATCTGGCTCTCGAGATTCGGAGAACGGTGCCTCTTCGATTTTTGAGAAAGCAATCCTGCTGAGAGTCTGGCTCTTGAAATTCGAGGAGCGGTGTCTCTTCGATTTTTGAGAAAGTAATCCTGATAGGAGTCTGGCTCTCGAGATTCAGAGGGCAGTGCCTCTTCGATTTTGGAGCAAGCAATCTTGTTGGGAGTGTTTTCTCGAATGTGAGTACAGGTTGTACATTTTTGCTAGTCTACCTTGCCACGGAGCACAGAGGTTGACACACAGGGACTTTCCAATTATCCAGCAATGGTGCTGTTCCTTTACCCTTATGGGTAATAATATGGTAGCTAAACCTTCAAAATTTATGTGTCTAAACTTTGTTAGTGCTGTTTCTTTGCTGTTCTTTTACCCTTCTTGGTCATAGCGATGTAGTGGGAGCTGCAAGCTTCACGTGTCTAAACTTTGTCAGAGATCTTTGGCAAAGTTATCTGTGGTACCCATGAGCTGATGTTGCGTGTGGAAAGTGGATTATTGAACAGTAAGATTCACGTGCTTTCTACTTCACCAGAAATTTTCGACAAATTGCCCGTAATTTCAGCAAGGCTGAGTGCATGTGACAGGTGCTGACAAGGCTGAGAAAGCAGGTGTCTCTTCGATTTCTGAGATCGGCCCTCGTGGTCTCTAAGCAGCCCAGCTTTTGAGAAAGCAAGCGCCTCTTCGATTTTTAAGATCGGCCCTCGTGGTCTTTGAGCAGCCCAGCTTTTGAGAAAGCAAACGCCTCTTCGATCTTTGAGATTGGCCCTCGTGGTCTCTGAGCAGCCCAGCTTTTGAGAAAGCAAACACCTCTTCGATTTCTGAGCAGGTGCCTCTTCGATTTCTGAAACTCCGTCGAGTGCAGATTTTTATAGAGGCTGGCATTAAGTTCCAAAGCACACTTGAATCTCCACCAGAAGCTCCCTTGTTGCACTTCTAAGATCTTGATTTGTTTGACCTCTTCTCTCTTCAACACCTTTGAAAATGTCTGACCCTTCCGACAGTCGTTTTGACTTGAACCTTGGTGAAGAGGCAGCTGCGCCTTCTCCAGACAACATAAGGTGCCCTCCTTCTTATCCCCTACTGGTCCTCTTACCGTTGGGGATTTCGTGATGAAGAATGATATGACCGATGCGGTGATGGCCAGGAACATTCTCACTCCCAAAGATAACAGACTTCTTTCCAAACGGTCTGATGAGTTGGCTGTTAAGGATTCTCTGGCTCTGAGTGTTCAGTGTGCAAGTTCTGTGACGAATATGGCCCAACGCCTATTTGCTCGAACCCGCCAAGTTGAATCATTGGCGGCTAAAGTGATGAGTCTCAAGCAAGAGATTAGAGGGCTCAAGCATGAGAATAAACAGTTGCACAGGCTCGCACATGACTATGCTACAAACATGAAGAGGAAGCTTGACCAGGTGAAGGAATCTGATGGTCAGATTTTACTTGATCATCAGAGGTTTGTGGGTTTGTTCCAAAGGCATTTATTGCCTTCGTCTTCTGGGGCTGTACCGCCTAATGAAGCTCCAAATGATCAGCCTCCGATGCCTTTTCCTTCTAGGGTTCTGTCCAGTACTGAGGCTCCGAGTGATCACCCTCCGGTGTCTTCTCTTTCTGGGGCTCTACCGACTGCTGAGACTTCTCCTAAGCAACCTTTATGAATGCCCCCTCTTGTTTGTTTATTTTGACTAATGTATATGTACATATTTGTAACTTATCGGAGATATCAATAAATAAGCTTTGCTTCATTTCAATGTATTGTATTAAATACACCAAAGCCTTCTTCACTAAGTTCTTTGAATTTTTCTTTTGTTGAAGCTTGTATGTTGAAGCTTTGTGAGTGAAACATGTAGGTTGAGGTAGTGTTCCCTTAATTTCTCGAGTGAGGAAAACTTCTCGGTTGAAGACTTGAAAAATCCAAGTCACTGAGTGGGGTCGGCTATATGAATCTTAGAACGCCATTGTGCTCGGTCCTGTGTCATGTCATCCGTTAGATCCAAGTACTCAGTCTTTTCTTAGAGTCTCTTCCAAAGTTTTCCTAGGTCTTCCTCTACCCCTTCGGCCCTGAACCTCTATCCCGTAGTCGCATCTTCTAACCGGAGCGTCAGTAGGCCTTCTTTGCACATGTCCAAACCACCGTAACCGATTTTCTCTCAGCTTTCCTACAATTTCGGCTACTCCTACTTTACCTCGGATATCCTCATTCCTAATCTTATCCTTTCTCGTGTGCCCACACATCCAACGAAGTTTCCTCATCTCCGCTACACCCATTTTGTGTACGCGTTGATGCTTCACCGCCCAACATTCTGTGCCATACAGCATCGCCGGCCTTATTGTCGTCCTATAAAATTTTCCCTTGAGCTTCAGTGGCATACGACGGTCACACAACATGTTGGATGCACTCTTCCACTTCATCCATCCAGCTTGTATTTTATGGTTAAGATCTCCATCTAATTCTCCGTTCTTTTGCAAGATAGATCCTAGGTAGTGAAAGTAGTCGCTCTTTGGTATTTCCTGATCTCCGATCCTCACCCCTAACTCATTTTGGCCTCCATTTGCACTGAACTTGCACTCCATATATTCTGTCTTTGATCGGCTTAGGCGAAGACCTTTAGATTCCAACACTTCTCTCCAAAGGTTAAGCTTCACATTTACCTCTTCCTGAGTTTCATCTATCAACACTATATCATCTGCGAAAAGCATACACTAAGGAATATCATCTTGAATATGTCCTGTTAACTCATCCATTACCAACGCAAAAAGGTAAAGACTTAAGGATGAGCCTTGATGTAATCCTACAGTTATGGGGAAGCTTTCGGTTTGTCCTTCATGAGTTCTTGCGGCAGTCTTTGCTCCTTCATACATATCCTTTATAGCTTCGATATATGCTACTCGTACTCTTTTCTTCTCCAAAATCCTCCAGAGAATGTCTCTTAGGACCCTATCATACGTTTTTTCCAAATCTATAAAGGCCATGTGTAAATCCTTTTTCCCCTCTCTATATATTTCCCTCAATCTTCGTAAGAGATAGATTGCCTCCATGGTTGAGCATCCTAGCATGAACCCGAATTGGTTGTCCAAAACCCGTGTCTCTTGCCTCAATCTATGCTCAATGACTCTCTCCCAGAGCTTCATTGTATGACTCATTAGCTTAATACCCCTATAGTTCATGCAATTTTGTACGTCGCCCTTATTCTTGTAGATAGACACCAAAGTGCTATTTCGCTCCTCATTTGGCATCTTCTTCGTTTTCAAAATCCTATTGAAAAGGTCAGTGAGCCATACTATACCTGTCTCTCCCAAGACTTTCCACACTTCGATCGATATATCATCTGGGCCCACTGCTTTTCTATGCTTCATCTTCTTCAAAGCTACAACCACTTCTTCCTTCCTGATTCAACGATAAAAGGAGTAGTTTCTACTCTTCTGAGTTACTCAACTCCCCTAAAGAAGTACTCCCTTCATGTCCTTCATTGAAAAGATTATGAAAATAACCTCTCCATCTGTCTTTGACCGCGTTCTCTGTAGTAAGAACCTTTCCATCCTCATCCTTGATGCACCTCACTTGGTTTAGGTCCCTTGTCTTCTTTTCCCTTACTCTAGCTAGTTTATAGATATTCAACTCTCCTTCTTTGGTATCTAGTCGCTTATACATATCATCATAAGCCACTAACTTGGCTTCTCTCACAGCTTTCTTCGCCTCTTGCTTCACTCTTCTATACCTTTCACCATTTTCATCGGTCCTATCCTTGTATAAGGCTTTACAACATTCCTTCTTAGCCTTCACCTTTGTTTGTACCTCTTCATTTCACCACCAAGATTCCTTTTGGTGTGGAGCAAAGCCCTTGGACTCTCCTAATACCTCTTTTGCTACTTTTCGAATACAACTAGCCATGGAATCCCACCTTTGGCTAGCTTCCCCCTCTCTATCCCACACACACTGGGTGATTACTTTCTCTTTGAAAATGACTTGTTTTTCTCCTTTTAGGTTCCACCAACTAGTCCTTAGGCACTTCCAAGTCATGTTCTTTTTTCTCACTCTTTTGATATGTACATCCATCACCAACAAGCGACGTTGATTAGCCAAGCTCTCTCCCAGTATAACTTTGCAATCCTTACAAGTTATACGATCCCCTTTCCTCATTAGAAGAAAATCTATTTGTGTTTTTGACGACCTACTCTTGTAGGTGATCACATGTTCTTCTCTCTTCTTAAAGAAGGTATTGGCTAAGAATAGATCATATGCCATTGCAAAATCCAAGATAGCTTCCCCATCCTCATTTCTCTCCCCAAAACCATGGCCACCATGAAAACATCCATAGTTGCCTATCTCCTTGCCCACGTGTCCATTTAAATCTTCTCCTATAAATAACTTCTCCGTCTGAGCAATTCCGTGCACCAAGTCTCCAAGGTCTTCCCAAAATTTCTCCTTCGAACTCGTATCCAACCCTACTTGAGGTGCGTACGCACTAATCACATTGATGAGTTCTTGTCCTATTACAATCTTGATTGCCATGATTCTATCTCCTACCCTCTTGACATCTACAACATCTTGTGTCAAGGTCTTGTCCACGATGATGCCAACACCGTTTCTCGTTCTATTTATGCCCGAATACCAGAGTTTAAACCCTGAGTTTTCTAGATCCTTTGCCTTAAGACCAACCCACTTAGTTTCTTGTAGGCACATAATATTTATCCTTCTCCTCACCATAACTTCCACTACTTCCATAGATTTTCCCGTTAGGATTCCTATATTCCACGTTCCTAAACGCATTCTACTCTCTTGAAGTCTACCCTTCTGTCCTAGCTTCTTTAACCTCCCCCGTCTAATAGGATCAAAGTACTTCTTTTGTGTGTCCTGTGTAAAGTTGATAGGAGCATATGCACCTAAACAACTTTGAGTGGAGTCGTTCGAAAAGAAGTTTCTATGGCCCCCTTGCTCATTTAACACTGCATCCGGGTGCAGATGGAGATACAGTGACCCTTGCTCACTTATCACTGTGCTCGGGCCACACAGCGCGCCATTTACGGGTGACGCCCTAGCTTTAGCGCGATTTCGTTCTGGATTCATTTTCATAAGGATTCGACGTAAACCAGGAGTGATGGCTGTCGACTACCTGACGCCCTCCCCCTCCTCCTTTATCCGGTCTTGGGACCGGCAATATAAGATAAACTTACACAGGCGGAGTTGGTGGAGGAGCTCATTGATATGCAAAATTCCCTTGATGATAGCACTCAAGAGCTATATGACTGTGCTTACCACAAATTTGACATTCGACCAAGTTAGGTGTAGTATTTGGACTTCTGTAAAAACTGTTAGGGGTTGTGTGACCTCTTCGTTGACAAATTTGACACTCAAGCTACATAGTGAATCTGTTATCAATATTACCAATCTAAGCTTGCCATCCTTACCTATAGTTGTTACCATAACCTTTTCCTTTATTGTAAAAAGGCTTATGATTTGTTGTCCTCCAAAAGAGTTCCTGGAATTATTAGAAGACCTAGGCCCTAGATTGAAATTATTTGAAGCACTTCCAGTGAATCCAAAACCATAACGATAAAGCATAGTTGACGGTGATGGAAATTGTTGAGGCATAGGTGAAGGCATAGGTAGTGTGCCAGAGCTACGAAAATGCATTGGAGAAGGAGCATTGGTAGGATAGAATGATCTTGGTGTGGCTGTACTGACTATTGCAAAAGGCAGATCATCATGAGAATTAGAGCTCGAAGAAGACCCTGCAACAGAATTCTGTGAAGAAGAACCTCCTTGCATAAACATAGCTGCCAAGGGATGAGATAAAGTGTTTTCCATGCCCTTAATTTCACTTTCAGTAATTAACATTTGAGCTCTTAATTCTTTTAGAGAAATAGAGGACTCCTTAGCCAAAATAACTATTCGAATGATAACATAATCCCCTGGTAACTAAAAAAATGCAGCAATGATCATATCATTTTCAGAAACGAATTCCCCTACTGCAATAAGTTGATCTCTAATGGATTTCAGCCTTGACAGATACTTGTAAATAGAATCAGCACCCTTTTGAAGTGTCTGAACTCAGTTTTGAGCATATTAATTCTGGATTTTGACACAGTAGCATACCTATCTTCAAGAGTAGTCCAAGCTTCATGAGTTGTTTTGCAACCAAGAACATGTTCAATGGCATCATCAGACAATGTAGCAATGAGAAGACTAAGCAAGGAAGATTAGTAGTTTCCCATTCTTGAAATGCAATTGTAACTTCTTTAGTACACCAGTTTCTATATTTATCACAAACTTTGGAGGACACACAGATGAGCCATCATAGTGATCAAATAACTTGTAACCTTTAAGCAATGACTTGAATTGGAAAGTCCATTTAGAGTAGTTGGAATCTCTCAGTCGAATTATGAGCATACCAATAACATTTTCAATTTTGACAGATGATGAATTCATGATGTAATAAGCAGATCAACAATTCATCTCAATTTCACAACATCAATCCAGTAAACATGGCATTGCCCTTCAAACAATTCTTCAATAGATTCACAATATACTATGGCATTGGCCTTTATACTACTTCAATATGCTAAGATGAACAAAAAAAGCAAGGCTCAGAAAATATAAATAAAATAAAATAAAATAAAATAAAAACACAACGTGAAAAACGCAAGCAGAAATCACCGCCATGGATGGGAAATCAAGAATCCAGATCCTCAAATAATGAATCTTGAAATTTTGCAGAGCTAATCAACTGTAAGAACTTCTTTGAAACCAACAACAAAACGTCAAAGATTGAATAGGATCTTGAAAAAAAATAAAATAAAATAAAATTCTAAACGAACCAGCACCGACTTTAGAAAAATTGCTCAAAGAATCAGCACCAATACATGCGGCAGACTCCGAAGAATATTTTACTGAAAGATCAGTAACTCCACAAAGGAATCATTGGCTCTCGATACCATATTAACAAAAATGAAAATCTAGGGTTTTTGGTACAAAAGCTTCAAAGAAGAAGAGAGAATGGTAGAGAGATAAGCTCATAGGATATTTCAAATTTCTGTAAATGTTTCTTACAAGAGATACTACATTCTACTATTTATAGCCTGCTACATTTAGTAATTACTTTTCTTAACTGTTAAGCAACTATACAATAATCTTAGCCATTGTATAACTGACACATGGCACCTTAACTACCCTTTGATCTTTACTGTCATTATTCTCCACTTCCTACAACAGCGGTCGCGGCGGCCCATCTCCCCCTGTCAGTTCCACTCGGTTGCCCCAAACGGCGTCACGGGCCAGCCCGATTCTAACGAGCCCAAATCTGACCCTTCTGCATCCGTGCATGGAATCGGCCGTTGGCGCGGCAAACCCTTGGCTTCGTCTAATCCACTATCTTCATTTTCTTCCTTTTCTTCCTCGTGCGGCCATGGGTGTGGCGGCAGCGATGGTATAAGAGGCAAAGGAATGAATTATATACATCATTAACCAAGCAAGAAAATCGATCAATTCGTTTGTACTGCCAATGCACCAGAAGAATCATAATTACATTAAACATTACAAAGGTTTGTGTGGTGGGTCATGCACATGCGAATTCTATTTCATGGTCCCTGAAATTGAAGAAGATGATGATCTGTTCATCATCATCTTCTTCTTTTTTTATTTTTCAAGTTTTTAATTATACAAATAAAAATTATTATTTTTATTTGTTTAAATATTTTATTGACATGGGAATATTTAATTAGACTTATAAGATCCATTTATGTCACATTAACACAAAACTAAATATTTGATAGAAAAATCTCATTGATTTGCGAAACATATTTTCACGGGTTACACTGATTGATTTTTATTTTCAGGAACCATCTTAATGGAGATGGTCAATTTCAAGAACTATTTGTAATAAAACCCTAAATAGTATAGATACATGTAAAAATAGCTTATTAAATTAGTATTATGCATATGTAAAATTGGTTATTTTTCCTAGATTTATTATTATTACAGTGAGGGTTCAAAACTATTATACTAATTTAAGGAAGGAGGAGTTTTGAATCCTAGACACATGGGTGGAAGCCCAACACTCTATTTACTAGGAAATTGGACCACATGCAATTGTGATTTATGGTAATAAATGATTTTATCCATGTAAAAATATTTTTTTTCATTGTTCTAAAAATCTCCTCCTAGCATTGCCTAAGCCCCGCCTAAGTGCTAGGTGATTGCCACCATCCCGATTAGTTTTTAGGCATTTGAAAATTAAGAAAGTGTGTCTAGACTAACTTAGGTGTCTGCCTAGCTCGCCTAAACCTGTATCGACAACCGTCTAGGTCGCGATACTCACTTGGACAGAAAATTGATAACTTTCGTTTTGCATTTTAATTTTTCAATAAATTATAAGCAACTTGTTGAATACCTGGATGAACACTCACTACATGCTTGTTCCCCATGTTCTCAATATATATTCTAATACTTTATAATCTATGGTCATTTATTTTTGCAATTTATGTATCCCAAGACAATTATGTGTGTTTTTTAAAGTATAAATAGGCACTTATTTATACAAATCTAATAAATTTACATAAATCCATCTAGTCTGCCTAGGCTTTGCCGCCTGGGTGCTATGTCCCAACCCGCCACCCGATTAATGTCTAATGTCTTTTAGAACCTTATTTTTTTAAATTAATATGGTTCAAGCTAAGAGTATCTCCAAATGAGACGTCAAATTCAAAACATCATATTCAATTTCACGGTTAACATGACAATTTGACATATAGTGTGACAACCCGTCCCTAATTTAATGATTTAATTAATTTTAAATCAGTGAATTGATGAAAATGTCCAAGAGACGAGATTGTTGAATTTCATTTCCGTCATTTCTTGATGTGTACGAGTTATTATTTTACTGTATTTTTTGAAGCACTCAACGGTACGAACTTATAGGAGCAAGCGAAATCGAATTCGGAGTTACAACGAAGATTCTAGGAAATACTAATGTGAGGGTACTTTAGTAATTTTATATTTTTGAATTTAGGCCCTTGGTTATTTTAATATTTTATGGTGGGTTATTTTAATTATTTTTTTAATTTTTTGAATTGTGGGGCCCACACTCACACTAAACTCTCCATTCTTTCCTCACCATGTGTCAGTTTTTCCCCACACTTTAGGGGACATTCTCAAACTCTCTTATCCCTCAGTCTCTCGTCCCTCTCTCTCTGATAACTGATAGGAGCATATTTACGCGACTTAGTTAGCTTGTTTCTTGGCATTTATGTTGTTAGTTCGTAGTTATTTTAGTATTTTAAGCCATTTTCGTGTGTTTTAGGTCCAAAGGGTTAATGTGGCAAAGAAGTGCATTTTGGAGCATTTTTGGGCATGGAATGGATAGCATATGCTTGGAGCAAAAGGAATAGACGAAATTTGAAGTTTGTGCATCATCCTCTCCCTATAAATAACCATTTTAGCACACTCATTTCGCCCAACAAATCCACTCATTACAACCACCCAACACATTCACCTACCACTACATCCACTCATTTCACCCAACACATCCATTCACCTACCACTACTTCCACTCATTTCACCCAACACATCCACTCATTACAACCACCCAACACATTCACCTACCACTACATCCACTCATTTCACCCAACACATCCATTCACCTACCACTACATCCACTCATTTCAACCACCGAACACATTCACCTACCACTACATCCACTCATTACCACCACCCACTACATTCTCTTCCTAGCCTATAAATATATCCATCCAAAGACACATTCGGGGGGACAGTTTAGGGAGAAGGGAGGAAGACACATTCTGCCCTAAGGCAGAGTCTTTTCTTCTTAACCATTCTACACATTCCCACAACAAAAACACAATTCCATGCACCTTCATTTCCCTTTCCTTGCCGTGACCTCCATCCAACCTAAACACATTCAGCCATTCCCTTCCATATATCCATATGCATCCATCAAACCACACCTTGTGCTGCAACAAAGAGAAGAAGGAGGACCCTTGGACGTGCTTGCCATTCAAGTTGGATTGTTGAAGCGTTTTTAGGTGTTTTCATTCTTTTATTCTCAATATCTAAATTTGTTTATCTTTGCTTTGTGAGTATGAGGAACTAAACCCCCCTTAGCTAGGGGGGAATTCAAAGCCATGAACATACTTGCAATATGAATTGATTACCTTCAGTTGTGATTTCATAAGTTGTGAATTCAATTTGTTTAACTGCTTGATTGATAACTTATTCGTGTATGTTTATTAAGAGTGCACACTTAGTTTGCATGCATGAATATGATGCTAGAGTATAAGGGAGTTTCACCTAATAGTTACAAACTTATATTCACAAGTAGTGGAGGTCGCTTATAAACGATCGCGTTAAATGAATTCTTGGCAGGAGTTTCATGCTCATCATAGTAACGAATGCCTCATCAATACTTATAGTTTTCATAATGCTTAGTGATCTTTGATTGTATCTTTATTGTGCTGTTCACGAAAAGGACTTTTGAAGAATGCTTGAATTGTTGTATGCGCTTTCCCATCTAATTCAATAACTTAAGGAGAACTCGAAGGTTAATTTAAGCGGACTTAATTAACCTGGGGTGTTGAGTTTCATGATTTATCGAAAGAACAACTGAAAATTGGTTTATGTGCAAGTGTGTCAAGTGTGGAGAAGAACCCTCTAGCTAGCCCATCATCCATAGTTTACCCAAATTTGTCCAAAATTTGTTTTAGTTTACAATCAGTTTGTTTTGTTTTCAAATTCGTCAAAATCAAATCCCCCTTTACTTTAAAGTGTTTTATTAGTCAAAATATGTTTTGATTTGTGTTTTTAAGTGTTTTGAGTCAAGTTAGAACCTAATTTCGTCCAAAATCATCCCTAAAGTCAGTTTAGAGTCTAATTCATTGTTTTAAGCTGTTTTGAGTCTTTTAAACTAGTTTTGAGTCTTTCTAGTTTGTATTGCATCTTTTGAGTCTAGTTTGGTGTTTTAAACTTAATTTTATGTTTTTAAGTCAGTTTAAGGTGTTTTAGCAATCCCTCATAATCTCCGGCCTAGAACGATCCCTACTTACATTCTTTACTATAATTGACAACAAGAGGGTTTAATTTGTGTGTTAAGTAATTTTCGCATCAAATTTTTAGCGCCGTTGCCGGGGATTAGCAAGTTGCTAATCCCTTGTTATTTCTTTTTGTATATTTTCGTGTCTTTTGTTTTTAGTTACTGACTTTGTGTTTGTGTTTTTTTTTTTTTTTTGTTTGTTTTACTTTTGATATTTGATCTAGTTTTGTTTCCTTGATTTCAGGTACTAGAGAAGTAAGATATGGATTTTGCTACCATTCAAGCTCAATTGGCGAAACTTACTTTTCAATTGTCACAATATCCCGAAAGGACCACAACGCAAAGTGTCCCTACATATGGTGTGTCCTATGGGCAAGGATATCCAACTCATCAATGTTCTTAATTCACTGCGAATGAAGATGCTTGGGGTTATTAAGGCCATAGACAATCATGGGACAACATGTTTTCCAACGCTTACAATTCGGATTGGAGAGATTATTCAGATTACATGTGGGGAGAACCTCAACAATTCCAACAAGATGGATATTGGCAGCAAGAAGAGGAGTTCTATTCAAGACCTATGCACCCACCACAACCTCATCCACAACAATTCCAATCAAATTCGAGTATGCCTATGAGTTATGATGAAATTCTTGATGTACTAACCTCGTTGACGCAGGGCTCACAACAAGAAGAATATTTGCTGCCATCGGATGAGTTATATCACTGGCCATATGAACCATCACTGCCACCACAACAATCTGCCCAATTCAATTCAGGTATTTCTTTGAAGAATGCTTGAATTGTTGTATGCGCTTTCCCATCCAATTCAATAACTTAAGGAGAACTCGAAGGTTAATTTAAGCGGACTTAATTAACCTGGGGTGTTGAGTTTCATGATTTATCGAAAGAACAACTGAAAATTGGTTTATGTGCAAGTGTGTCAAGTGTGGAGAAGAACCCTCTAGCTAG